TTGCCCAATGCAAAGTGGACTTCCTAGGACACCATGTGTCTGACCAGGGTCTCCACATGGACGACGCGAAGATCACTGCTATCGCGGAATGGCCCGTCCCCACATCCGTCAAGCAGCTAGCAGTTTCCTAGGCCTCACTAGTTACTATAGTAATTTCATCCGGGGATACACTAGGTATTCCTACGTCCTTACCTCCACCCTCCTCCGGAAGAACCCGTCGTGGTTCTGGACACCCCTCTACGAGGACGCCTTTCGTGCAATCAAGAAGGTGGTGACTTGTGCCCCGGTTCTTCGCCTCCCCAATTTTGATCGTCCCTTCATAGTCACCACTGATGTGTCAATTTTTATTTGGAGTAGTACTTTCTCAGGTGTTTCCCTCTYCTCCTGATTCACCTTATCCACATGTTCCCCACTTCACCCCCCCTCCTGCTGACACTGCTTTTCGACTGACGCCTATCCTCCTTCCACTTCCCTCCACTGACAGTCCTCCCGTCTCTTACTCCCTGACCATCGCGGAGGATGGGACTGTCGAGGCGCGTGTTGGGGATTGCCCGATCGCTTTGTACTCCCGTCAGCTACTGTCTACCGAGGTAAACTACACTGCCGATGAACGTGAGGTTTACCTGACATTGGCATCATTATCTGCACGGGGCGCCCTTCACGGTGCGCACGGACAACACAGTTGTCCAAACTTTCCTCACGAAGCCCAAACTTTCCCCTCGATAGGCACGCTTGTGGCGTGATTTATCCGAGTTCAGTTTCACCACTCAACCTATCAAGGGTGAAACGAACCGCGTCGTCGATGCCTTGTCCCGCCATCCTTATTACAATCAGGAACCCATCCATCTTGTTGCCATCTCCTTCACCATTGTTGATCAGTCAGTGATCGACGCATATCGCACTCAGTATCGTCACTGCCCGGATTATCGCGACATACACACGACATTGCGGCGTGGCCAGACCGTTCCTTCATACTCCCTCGGTGAGAACGGTCTCGTGTACCGGCATGGTAGATCTGGTCAATTAGAACCAGGTATCGGCGTTCCCTTTACTAGACAACTCCGTGTCCAGGTCGTAGCAAAGTTCCATAACCATGCAGTTGACGATCATATGGGCTTCCACAAGACGTTGGTTCGTGTTTGCCGCCTATACGTTTGGCCAAAGTCTGAGGACTTCGTCAAAGCCTACGTCCAGGAGTGTCCTACCTGGCAGGAGGTGAATAGTGCGAACCACCTTCCGTTTGGGTTACTTCAGCCGTACTCATACCTGAGGGTCGTTGGCAGTCCATCTTGATGGATTTCGTTGGTCCCCTCCGCCCATCCACTGAGCGCGGTCATGATGCTAACTTGGTCGTCGCCGATCGCTTCACGAAGCGTGCACGTTTTGTCTCGTGCCGCTATCGCATTAACACTTGTGAGGTCGCCGACATTGTCTTCGACCGAGTCATGAGAGATCACGACTTACCTCATAGCATCATCTCTGACCATGACCCGCGCTTTACCAGCACATTTTGGCGATGCCTACACGAGGTGTACGGATCCCATCTCCGCTTTTCATCGTCTTACCACCCTCGGACGGATGGTCAGACTGAGGTCACCAATAAAACTCTCGGTAATATCCTCTGAAAGTTTATTAGGGATGATCAACAGTGGGACTTACACTTAGCCCAAACGGAGATTGCGTACAACCACGCCCTTTCGCTAACTACGGGGATGTCGCCATTCTATTGCAACCTCGACTACCACCCTCGCGTACCCGCGGATTTCCTACGACCGTCGCAGCTGCACCCAAACACTCGTTGTCTTGCGCTTAACGACTGGATCGTCCACATGGTGGCGATTATGAGGCACACACACGAGAGTCTAGTTGACTCCTAGACTCGCATGGTCGCACGAGCGAACCGATCATGAATGCATCATCCATTCAAAGTCCGTAACGATGTGCTCGTCGACACACACCACTTGCAGCTTGGAGCGGATACGCTTCGCAAGTCCAGGCGTCGCTTCTTCGGTTCATGCCGCATCCTTCAGGCTGTCGGTTCTGATATTGCCGCTAGTCCGGTTAGCTTCCCTGTGAAGCTACCTGATTACCTTCGACAGACTCGCGTACACGATGTATACCACGTCTCCTTACTATGTCCTTATCGCAGACCGTTTGAGCGCTTCGTCGGACGTCCTTATGAACGCCCTCCACCTATCATGGTGGACGGGCACGAGGAGTTCGTCGTTTCCGACATCGTATTCTGCCGAGTTACGGGTGATACCCCTCCACGCATCGAGTATCTTGTGCATTGGAAGGGCTATCCTGATGAGGATGCTACTTGGGAGCCCCTCGAGCACTTGGAGCACGCCCAAATGTTGGTTCGTGCATATGATCGTGCTCATTGTGCCGAGACATCTTCTCCTACTCAGCCGACTGACCCTCTTCCTCCTCCTCCGGCTGAGGAGACTGCTAAGGACGAGCCCGCTCCCTCTGATGCCGTTCTTCAACAGCAGACGGACGCCTCTGCGCGTCCACAATGCACTGGTCGACGCCCTTGGCGTCTCGACGACTGATACTCTGATCACCTACTATCTTCCTACTGACTCACACCTTCAGGTACTCCATCATCAGCTTCTTCAAGATGTCAGAGTTTTGCGTTTTTGCTTTGACATCGACTCAAATTCTACTTCATCGACGTCATCGACCACTTCGACAACCTCAACTACCTTATCGGCTTCAACAACTTTGGACGTGACTACTTCACGCCACCACCCTACCCTGTACATTCCCTTGCACATGTCGCATGATGGTTCTCACTTAGATGGGTCTCTCTGAGTTGGGCTCTCCCTTAGTATCACATAGGCATTGGGACCGTAGCATTATCTTGGCTTCCCTGCTCCTAGATCTAGCTCCCTCCCCCAGTCAGTGAGTTATGTGCATGTTTCCCTCACCCACTGCATCCCTCGTCACCCTAGTGCCAGCCACTACATGGCTTCAGTTAGGCATACGTCCACCCTATTCCAGGCTCCCCTTTCATGGTCGACCCTGCATGGTGTCACCCTTTTATCGAGCATTACCCGCCTTGATGGTCTATCTGTTAGGGTCATTGGTTTTGCTTTGCTACCACTCCCTCACCTTGAGCCTGATGACCTATCCCACCTTCGTCTGTAGCTGCCCTTAGGAGTTTTCATTCTTAGGTTGCATTCACCCCCTTTGAGAGCATCCCACTCTTAGTGGTTCGGCGACACGACATTACCTTGTGACATATTGCTATCTTTTCCTTTCAACACCGAGGCAATTGCCTCCAAGACTTTAGGATTGTCTCTTTCTACATTTCATTTTTTGTTGTTAGTTAGGATGTGTATACCAGACATTTGCTTTTCATTTGACATTATGTAGCTTAGGCTGCATCGCATGGACTCCGCATGGAGCTTGCTCCGCATCCTAGGTTTCTCAGCTTTCTTTATTGCAGGGTTCCGCTGCTGTTGCGGATAGCGTGTTTATGGCTCTTGCGATCCACTACAGGTCTGAGGATCGTGCAACGGGCCTCTATCTGCCCTGGCCTACAGCCAGGGCCTATCAGGCTATTTTGCTTGTTCGGCCTGTGGGACCAGGCCATGGCCTGACCCCACACGTCGTGTGCTCACTCAGTCCATTCCAGTCCTGCCCGGTACCACTGTCGGTACCAGGCCAGTCTAATCCAGTCTAGCCAGTCCGCTGGGGGTATACCCCAGCTGCAGTTTGTTTCAGCTCATTCTTCATTTTTGCACACTTTGGAGTACGTGTGTGTTGAGTCTGCGGCGGAGCTGTGCTGTCCCTTCCAGCTCCATCTCCATCTCCGTCATCCTCACCCCTTCGTCTTCATCCTAATGAACCGCCATTCCGGTGGGTCCGCCACAGTGGTGGTGGTGTAGACCTACCTTCACCCCCGTTGGTGAAGGGAGAGTAGCGGATGGCTTGTAAGGGGGTGACCACCATACATCTCAAGGTGGTGAAGACCTATCTTCACCTATGGCAGACTTCCATCCCTTCTCTGAAGCGTGGTGCTGCATCAACTTGAGACTTCACCCGGGAGTCTGGCACCGGGTGATGTCTTCTCTAGATCACAGAGTGATTTTGATGACCCGCTCAACATGGTAGTGCTACCAGGAGGGAGAAGAGGAGGACATGAAGGCAGTACACTGTCAAGAGCAACTGCTAGGGAGATCAATGACCATCCATCACACATTGATTCTTGGTTCAATTGTTTAATATGTTTATTCATTAAATCATTTGTCATTGCTGATCAACAAAGAGGCGAGGGGAGGAGGGGGAAGGAGGAGTTATGGGCGTAGGACGTTATGCTGGCTAAGGAGATTCATTGGCCTGGTCTCCCCCCCCCCCAGTTTCAAGTTTCAACAGACAATGCATTATGTTATACTCTGAGAACTGTTTACTGCTGCAGTGGTGCTCTTGGTTCGCCCCCGTTCTTCTTGGGAAAAGTGGGGGTTAGCCCCTAACTTTGTTGAATCCGTTGGGATTTGAACTCACGATCTCTCTTCATCAACTTAATCACAATATTCAAGGCGGTGGCATCCACCAACCTTTTTCCCTCCCCTCCCCTCCCCTCCCCTCCTCTCCTCTCCCCCACCCCCGCACACCCTCCCGGCTTGTTCATTGATTTCAAAGTTCGAACTGTTAATCATAAGTTCATATAATGAAGCATATGCTTATTGCTTTACCAAGAAAATCTGAAAAAGACTCATGAATATAGCTTAAGCCCGCCACATCCCTTACTGATATGCATACCCTCCCAGGTGGGCCACCCAGTTTCGCTGCACCTTTGATATCTGCGCCTTTCTATCGACAAGGACCTCACCAGACTGCAGAAGTGAAAACTCTTGCCTCTCCAGAAGCAGCAAAAAATAAAAAAAAAGAAAAAGAAAAGAAAAGAAAAGAAAAAAAAAAACACGAAAAAAAATGAAAAAAAAAATTGCCTCTCCAGAAGCAGCATCTCTCGATTTATGTGTGTCATCCTTGCGCAGGGGCCATGCTAATCTGCTCTGCAGAAGTGAAAACTCTTGCCTCTCCAGAAGCAGCAGCAAAGGGTACACTAAGAACACCGCTTAATAAAATTCCAAGCAGTTGGCAAACCGACCTTCATCAAATATAATCTCATTCTGCGCGCGCTGCCGGATTTCGATCACCTCCTTGTTCAGATACTCCACACTCCTCTCCAGGTCGGCCGCAAACATCTTGATATTGTCGTCCTTGCTGGCTTCTGCCACCTCTATTGTAGATTTGAGAGCGTTGAAGTCTGGAGTCAGCGTCTGATAGGCTGCATATTCAAGAGGGGGCACTTTGATATTGTACTCCTCCATTAGACCATAGTGCGCAACAACATCATCGTACCGATGCTCAAACTCATCCTTTCTCTCGAGCACAGACTGAAAACCATTCAACAAAACAAAGAAGCTTATTCACTGTGCAGTGGGCTCACAATAGTACGGTAGTACCAATGCAATCACCAGCTGTTCTGTGTTTTCTTTGTAATTTTAATCCCATGGAGAGGAGGGGGGGGGGGGTGCTCATTAGATGGCGCAATGTTGTACAAGGCTCTACCCTCACAGTGAATACAACAATGCACACTTCGGAAACCAGGACCCCGGTCCATCACCCGGGGCCATGCCAATCTTCTCTGGACCGTTTCTGGATTCGTATGTAGTATTGTGTACTCGTTAGATTGTGCAATGTCGTCGTGTTGCCCTGTAACCCAGCAGGGTGGGGGTGTGAGGCCTGGAAGAGCTCGGCAGGGAGTAAGACAGTGCTGGAGAGTTTTATAAGGGTTGCTAGGGATTCCCAGGGTTTTTAGCATTTGTAGGACCACTGTGGTGGCGCCTTTTGTTGTGGGTAGACCTTTTTTCTGAAGTTCGTAATTTTCTAAGTAGCTCAAAATTTTCTTAGCCAAAGCCGGGTAATGGCCCCGGTATCTCAAACTTTCAAAACTCTATGTAAATTTCCATATGGGACACCGGACCCGGTTCCCAGCACGTGCTGCTCCCCACGAATAGATTGGAGCCTTGTCCCCTTTTAAAAAAACAAGTGGACCTGCGGCAGCTACGCTGTGGGGAAGGACGATGACAAAACATTTTGCGAAACATGCCAGCCATCAGTTGGATCCCATCCCCCGGTATCTCAAACTTTGAAAATTCTATGTAAATTTCCATATGGGACGTTGGACCCGGTTCCCAGCACGTGCTTCTCCCCACCAATAGATTGGAGCCTTGTCCCCTTTTAAAAAACCAAGTGGACCTGCCGCAGCTACGCTGCGGGGAAGGACGATGACAAAACATTTTGCGAAACACCCCTGCCATCAGTTGGATCCCATATTTGCAATGTACCCCTACCAACGTTGCAAAATGCCCCGGCAGTTGCTAAGTTTTCGCACACACACACAGACACACCGAAAAAAAAAGTGTATATTTCCATGTTGTAGCGGTAGATTCAATCGATTTTGCTCATCCTATCGATGAAACTACCCTCTCTCTCTCTCTCTCTCTCTCTCTCTCTCTCTCTCTCTCTCTCTCTCTCTCTCTCTCTCTCTCTC